TGGAACTCTCTATGCATCAGTCGACATGTCTTCATTTCCAGGATCAATCGTTCCCAGCCAATAGTCTCACGATCAGCCGACCACATTGTACCGCGAGAACAGACTGGCTGAGATCCCTTGGATCATAGCGTCCTCGAGGGTGGGCTCGACCTCGGACACTCCTATTCATGGGGCGGAATCAGAGAATCACTCGGCATTTTTTTCTCAATTTCATAATAATAGCGGAAAAAAGTCGACGGGAAATCGAACTCCACGATTCGACATGAGCGAATCTTTCTCCGCGTACCTTCAAACACAGGACAGACTTTTGGAACGAGCCGTGGTGGATACAGAAGTTTCCGAGAATCCTGTCTACAATTTATCGGGTTCTCAGCGATGCCCTGTCGCAATGTCCTTCTAAAACTTCAAGTTCCTCCGGGAAGAGGCGAGGCTGTCTCCACACGCCGACTTTCTGCAGGCTTTCTCTCGCCCGGCGCGACATTCAACCAGGAGAAGCAGTATCGGAAAATAGAGCGGCATGCTCCAATAGAACGGCGTGCTCCAATAGACCGACGCATGATGAGGGGATCGAAAAATAGAACGGCATGCCACTCTATTAGGATAAATACGGAATATTTTGTGATTGGGGGGATAATTGCCGTGATTGGCACGATTGGCATAATTAATATGTTCGGAATCATGGCTCCGTTAATCTGTAGAAACCTAATAGAGATCACATCGTCTATAGCAGATCGAAAAACACGTTCCCACAGGAATTTCCGTAAAAGCCGGTCATACAGGAACTGACAAGAACCGTTGCTCTCGTCGGAAAATCCGTAGAAATGGCTTCAATTGAAAATGCTACCAATGTAAACTGCAAACACGTCCCCGAGGTATAATCAAAGAATTGGATCAACCCCATTTCATTGTTAGCCAGTGCTCGCCTACTCGGCGATGAATCGACAATCGATCTCGTTTCTTCGTCCAGGGCTCCTTCTTGAAACCTTGAGAGACATGATGGATACCGCTTCCGTCGGGCCGTCGCTCAGCTCGTCGAAGGGTCATCCAGCAGCGTGGCTCCGGGGAGGACCGAGTTATAGGCGCGAGGAGCGAGGAGGAGAAAGCAGCGAGCCACGATCAGCGGGGAGGGCAGCGCAGAGAGCATCCCGTCGTGAGAGTGAGCTAATCGAGCACTGAAGGTTTTCGAGCGGGGCGGATCGATCTACGCGAATTCTGATCCATGTTTTCCAGTGAATCCTAATGGAGATCCGTCACAGAACAATGAAGTACGGTCTGCTGTCTCCGAATGGACAATAATTGCCGTACATCTTTTCCGGGAAGATCAGTTTTATTTTTTGTGAGAATATGTGAAGGTTTATACATCGTCGAGTCTTCTCCTTCTCGGAAAATTCAAGGGCGGCTGGAGACACAACTGCGAGGAAACTCTCACTCTCTCTGACTCTCTGCTCCGGTTCTTCTACGAATTGACAAATTCATGCGTCGAAGTGATGCGGCAAAACCTCTCGGGACTTTATTCCAAAAACAATCTCACTTCTAGGGCTTACAACTCCCAGACGGATACAAATATTGGCAAACATATGAACGTACGGAAGGCGACACCGACCTGTGAATTTAACTCGCATGGGGAGTCGCTTTCGAACGTGCGATCGTCCCGTATGATGCGCGATGGAGAGCGAGCGATGCACGCAGTAATATCACGCAAAGAAATCTCGAAAGCAAGTCAGACCAATGAAATGGAACTCATTTTCGCTATCATCTTGCGGAAACTTTCATTCGATGTCACAAAAGCGGGAAGTACCAACATGTGATGGAAGCACTCGAACGAGCTGATCAGAGTTACAACCTTGAGCAAAGAGACCCAGACGAATTTGGGTGTCTCGGTCGTGAGCATCATGTATAGACAGTACGAAGCAGCGAAATAGAACTCCAAGAATAGAAGCAGGAGGCAAAGGAACGCCGCGCGCATTTTCTCATCTGAGTCCGCCTCTGCTTTATGGAGGAAAACGTACGGCGTAGTGAAGAACTCGTGAAACTCGGCCTTCCAAACCACGAGAGGTAAAAATATGAGCGGGCAATCTAGTCCGAACCAGATGGAGCAGCCGACGGCTCCGACTCCAACTGAAATCACCGACATGGGAGTCCACAAGTACGATAGAATGGAATTGGGAGCGAAACAAAAACATATTAATAATCGAATTATAAGAAGAATCGAGATAAACTGAACGACGGGCGACATATTGTCTAAAACACCCTCACCGGAAGGATCGTTGATACTAGAATTTAAATCTGGATATTTAGCCACAATTCGCCTCAAGTTGCGTACCATGAGCTTCTCGTCGTTCGCGTCTACAACACGCATCGGGCGGAGTTTGCATCGAGAGGCAACGATCACCGTATCGTTCTCGTTGAACTTAATATCCCGATCGAATTCGGAGAATGGTTTCAAGCGCAGCATTTGCTTCAAGGCTATTGTTTGATGATCTCTTCTCGATGAGTTGGGATACACGATTCTTGCCATCTCCTCCATTCCAAGCAGACGGGGAATTCTTTGAAACCAACAATTCGTCAATACCCCCGTGCTGTTACGGGTCGTCCTTTCGAACTCGTCCAGCATTGCCATGAGACGTTCCCGTGTCTCAACATTCCAGTAGTCAATGCCTGCATTGATGTTGAGTCCATATCGGTACCCCGCGAGCGGGTCTAAGTACCAATACGCGGGAAGATCGACTTTCCCGGATGGTCCGTCCGGACGCGGTATTGGCCTGGGAAAAGGAAAACGACAAGTTCAAGAGCGCAAGCACAACTCCTGGTATGTTCCGAAAGCCAGCTGGCTTCTAAAGCCTGTTTTTCTCGCTCGTCAGCCAGAAGAGTGTATGTAAGTCGAAAGAGAATTTGGCTCACCTATCTGTCTCCTCTCTGAGCTGCATGCATCCCGAGATTCCGACAACCAAGTAGACATAGAAGCTGATCATCACAATAGCTCTCAGCGAAGTTCCACGCAGCAGACACTCCCAAAAAG